AGTGCAGCATGTTCTGTGGAGCCCAGGCACTAAGGGCCCCACAGAGCATGCTGTACTTCAAGTTGAAGACGAGGGAGGTGAAGCCCTCAGCTAATGGCTGACACTAATCTCATCCTCTTTTCTCAGATGCGGCAATGGAAAGACCTACATGAACGACACCTAAGTCACACCGTAAGTCACAGAGCTAGCAACTCAAACACGTGATCGGTCAGTGACATTCAAAAATGAGTACAGTGCTTTGGAGATCATGAGGTTCTTGTCAAGAGCTAGATGAACATTTCATGTATCATTGACCATGTGGCTTGAATCTCCACATCCCCCTGTGAGTCCATAGTGTGACTGTGCTTTTTAACTATAAAGACAGGAAGCTTTGACTTAGCTCATGACTCAGTAGTGCTACATGTAGCTGCCGTCCTGCAGTGTACCTAAAATTTTGGAGGCTTACACATAGGGAGCCAATTACACCCTTTTTTCAATCATTTCCCAGTAGGACGTGATGTCTGAAGGACTGTAGCTTGAAATACAGAACACAAGGGTGGGGAAAATGATAACTATCTGCAAGCATGGCTGAGTCGATGGCCTAGGAATTAGAATCCTGAAATTTCCCTTCTCTAGGCTCTCATGTCCCTATGAAGGTAAATGAAGAGTAGTATAAGAGTGGCAATCTACAAGGGCACTTCTAGCTTATTCCAGCAGGTGGTGCAGACTCAGCTGTCCATTGCCAGGCCTGCTGCAGGGGGGAATCCATCCCACTTCCAACTATCTGCTTTGGTGGGTACCTTGTACCCAAAAAAGGAGATGATATCGTCACACATCCAGATTTTCAGACACCTGTAGTAGAACAGAGTATTTTTGCTTTGGAGACAGTCTAAGTTATGAATAGCCTGGTTCTGTAAGAACTTGCATGGATTGTGGAAAGGGAAATTAGCTGAGAGATCGCCTGCCCCAGTAAACACATAATTTATGTGTTTCCCAATGTTACTCCCATGGCAGGCTGATCCTATATCACCTAGAGTTAGTGACAGAGGCAGGACCAGAGCTCAGGGATTCATGCTCCTTGTGTGGGCCATTCTGTTTCAGACAACTCAAGTGCTCCATGAATTCCTCTGAGGACCAAAGTCTTCAAATGTGTGAGGTTCATAAATTGTCTTCCCAGACTTTTGACTCTTCTATAAGGATCGTAGACCTTTCCTTCGCTTTGTTTGGAAGGCTAGAGAGAAAAACGTGTCAATAAAACCTTTCTGGTCACTTGTATAGAGGAAAGAGGCACACAGAGAGGTTGCTCAAGGTGGGTGAAAAGACCCTATTCTAGAAGTTCAGGGGATATGGCAAACAGCAGACTAGACCCTCATTGAGATGTATATTTTTGGATTAAAAGGGTCATTAGATGTCAGGTTAACAGAGACCTTGTTTTCATGAGTGGGAATACTGAATCTAGAGTGACTGAGGGCCAGGTGTGAGACTCTAGTGGGTAAGTGGAAGACCAAGGTTCAAAACACAGGGCTTCTGTCTAGAGGTCTGTCCCTGTCTGACA